GAAATCCACATAACTCCTCTTATCGATGAGAAAATGGGATGCTTACAAATAATGTCTGATACAGGGCCAGAGGTGGAAAAAAACCTCGAGACTGATAAATTATCATTAAGGCGTTAACTTCCATGTTCACTAATTCCTAAGACAACACTAGCCAAAAATATCGGGAATGCTGGCAAGTTATTTGTGACATATTTTTTTGAAATGAGACTCTGAAACCCCTCAATAGAGCACTGGGTCCTCTGGCTTCAGGGTAAACATTAATATAGTTAAATTGTGGGGAGGGAGGGATGAGATCTGTCCCTTGCCTTCACCAGCTTTAGGATTTGCCATGAGAAGTGGGGAAAAGTGTAGCTTTATCTAATGTAGTTAAGTTCACGGGCAAACTCTAGGCTGAACATACATAGTTTTTTCCTAATCTATTTTGGTCCTCTGTCCCTGAGTTTGTTAGGAGACTCACCCCCACCCCTACTTTGATTTTATGCAGGACCAGAATGGCTGGTTGCCGCGGAGACCTGAATGCCATGTACCACAGACTTTGTGATACAACTGTAATTTGGGGTATCGTCCTGGAAGCAGTGGCTGCTGTTGGGGCTGTGACCTCGGTGGCCTTCATGCTAGCTCTCCTGATCTTCATCTGCAAGGTGCAGGACTCCAGCAGGAGAAAGGTGCTCCCAGTGCAGTTTCTCTTCCTCCTGGGCGTGCTGGGGGTCTTCGGCCTCACCTTCGCCTTCATCATCACGCTGGAGAGGAGCACGGGGCCCACACGCTTCTTCCTCTTTGGCATCCTCTTCTCTCTCTGCTTCTCCTGCCTCCTGGCTCACGCTTTCAACTTGACGAAGCTGGTCCGCGGGAGGAAGTCCCTCTCCCTGCTGGTGATGTTGGGCCTGGCCGTGGGCATCAGCCTGGTGCAGGACGTCATTGCTGTTGAGTATATCGTCCTCACCATGAACAGGACCAACACTGCAGTCTTCTCCGAGCTCTCTCCTCCTCGGCGCAACGAGGACTTTGTCATGCTGCTCATCTACGTCCTCTTCTTGATGGCGCTGACCTTCCTCACATCCTGCTTCACCTTCTGCGGACCCTTCACTGGCTGGAAGAGGCATGGGGTCCACATCTACCTCACCATGCTACTCTCCATTGCCATCTGGGTGACGTGGATCACCCTGCTCTTGATCACCCCTATCCCTGGCCCCGAGTGGGATGATACCATCCTCAGCTCAGCCTTGGTGGCCAACGGCTGGGTTTTCCTGTTGGTTTATGTTGTGCCCGAGTTTCGGCTGCTCACGAAGCAACAGAACCCCATGGATTACCCTGTTGAGGATGCTTTTTGTAAACCTCAATTCATGAAACAGAGCTATGGTGTGGAGAACAGAGCCTACTCTCAAGAGGAAATCACTCAAGGTACAGAGCCTGGCTGGGTGGAGAGTCCCTTACAGAAAGATGGGGGAGGACCAGAGGTATTATAACTGTACAGAACATTCACGATTGTCCCGGTCATACCCCTGGTGGACTAGGTGTGGTCCCCAAGGCTCAGATCTTGTTTAAAATCATCTAGTTAGTTAAGTAGAACTAGAAGCTGGCCTCTGGAGTTGTAATCTAGTACTTTCTATGCAATTCTATGTAGGTTTCTCTGAATCAAAATAAGATGGAGCAAAGGAATGGAAAAGGAATGACTAGAAAAATTCTTAGAGACAAGAAGGTGAGATTGTGTTCTTTACGAAAGGTAACTAGGCATTCCTTCCAGAAATGTGGGGTCTTTATATATGTGGGTGCATAAAGCCAAGCCATGATTTCCTGCAGTGGTCGCAGAGCACAGAGCGGGTAGAAACCTCTTTTTATGAACCAGTGGAAATCTCCATGAAGTTCCTAAGGATTCTGATTTAACTTGAAGAGCTAAATTTTATTGCATGTCTCTGGGCCCATGGGAAGGAAGAGATCATATCTGACATAAAAGAATGAACTATTTTGCCCTTGCCTGGAGTTGTGAGCAGCCAGGTGTTCTGTTCTCATAAAAAAAAAGAAGAGGCTCAGCAGATAGCCGGAGACTGTCCTTGCCCATAGGGATCTAGCTGTTGATCTCTAGGGTTTACATTGATCTCTGGGCCTGATCAGAGGAGGGAGAATGGGTTTGGGACAAGAGTGAAGTACCGCCAAGGCCAGGTTCTTAGCTTTGGCCAACAATTTCTCTGCTCATGAAGCCTGAGGTACAAAGCTTCGGGGTGCTTCTCACTGCAGCTGGAGGCCCCGCTCCTGGGCACTTGGAAGCCTGAAGCGGGAGGGGAATGTCAGAGGGGCTATTCTACCCACCCAGTCCCTCCTGTCCATTGCCTTCACTGTCACCTCACCCCTGGACTCCTTGTTATCATTCCTTAACTAGTCGTTCTTCCTTTAATTCTTTTTTCCATTCATTATATGGGCCACTGTCAGCTCACTCTCTCTAATACACTCCCCTAGATACCACACTTCACTGCCCACATACCTCACTGGCTTCCCAGTACCCACTGTATTGATCAAATCTTTAGGCTTTTTGCAGCCAGAAGCCAATAACCATGGAAGCTGTGTTCTCAGTCCAAACCAACCATGTCACTGCATTTTCCCACCTCTGTGTCAGGCTCAAGGAGTGTCTGTCCTCTTCCTGAAAGTCCTTCCTTATTCTTGCCCTTTTCCAGAATCACTTGTTCCCCAAGCTCCATCAGTATTCACTCTGCCCTCACACCTTTGAAGCGCTGTTAGTCTGTCTTATTCCATAGTTATCTGTGTAGCTGTCAGATATTCCTGAGTCTCTAGAGTCAGCCTCAGGGCATTCTGGTGAATCCTTTTATTCTTCACAGTATCTTACATATAGAAGGTGTTTTGGTATTTATTGAGTAACTCGAACAGGTAAATTTGGTAGGAAATAAATGGAGCGCTTTAAACTATATTCACAGTGATCGTGTTCATCCCTTTGATTTCCCCCAATCTACAGAAAACGATTGTTCATAAATTCTGCCCCTTTTCAAAAAAAATAACAAAAAAACCTTTTTTCCCCCCTCGTTGGGCAGTTAAGGAAGTAGGTAACTCCTGGTGAGATTCACTCTAGATTCATCTCTGGCCAGATTTATTTCTGAAAAGACTGGATTCAAATGTGCTTTTGAAGTGGTCCTAGGATGGAGTGGGCCTCCAGTGAAGTTTTGGAAAGGTGTTTCTGTAGTGATCAGATGCTGCTGGTTATTCATTTATTCAACCAATATTGTGCTTACTCTGTGCCCAGTCCTGGGCTCGAGGACACAGTCCTTTCCCTCATGAAACGTATAGTCTGCCAGGGGAATAGGCAATTCAGTGGAAAGTGCATCATGCTTTGGTAAATGACTCAACCAGGCTGAGCACAGGCGAGAGCATGAGGGAGGGGACCCTAATGCTTTAATTACTCTTCTCCCTTTGTTTCAGGTCTTGAAGAGCTAGGCGATACGCTCTATGCTCCTTATTCTACCCATTTTCAGCTGCAGGTAAATGATTTCTTTCTCCTTTTTTGTCAGCAGATCATCACTCCAAGAACATTCTTCCCTTGGGAAATAGATGTTACCCTTCTGAGGGCCCCTAGATGGCCACCTTGAAAGAATGACGTGTCTATTTTGCTGTCATTGCCTGATGGGGTTAGGACAGAAGACTGGAGTGATGGGCACAGGGAGGACTTTAGGGGGAGGGCTTAGGAGAAGGGGAAGAAAATTAGATTCCTTCCCAGGTTGGCGTTCTGTTGAAATAAATATCCAGGAATGGGAGTGGGCTTAACAATATGGTGCTTCCTTTTCAGAACCGGACCTCCCAAAAAGATTTCTCCATTCCACGGGCCCAGACTCGGGCTAGCCCTTACGATGACTATGAAGGAAGGAAAAATGGCAGTTAGCTCTTCTGAAGAGTGGGACAAACACAGCAAGTCAGCAGGACCAGCGGGGAGTTTGAAGGGATGTGGGCAAAATCCTGAGTCTTCTGAGGAAACCATACACAACATGAGAAGACCGGGCCTCCCTGCCGGCCTCAACCACTCATCCGTTCTGGAGTCGCTGGGGGCTAACAAGACTCCGGTTCTTAGCAGCACTGTAGTTTTCTGCTTTGTTCCATACTTAGGATGCTTCTTATAAATGGAAGTCTTGGGCAACTCAGGGTTAGCCTCTTACTATTCCCTGTCACTTTATATGTGACTAAAGCTCTGGTGATCTGACCACATACTGGCTCATTCAGTTTCAGGAGCCAATTTCTCTACTCAAAGCTGGTTTTGTGAGGATCGCTTGGCCCAGAGCAGAACTGCACATCTGAGCAAAAATAGCAAAGACCTGTCTCTCAGCCCCTCCCTGCCTAAATCTACACTGGAAGCCAACTTGCTGGCACTCTCCCTTCTTGCCTGGGTAGGAGAGGCTAAAGGTCACCCTAAATTTACTCATTTCTGTGGTGCTGCCTAACACAGGGCCTCTCTGGGTCCCCAGCACCAATTCACAAGTACTCCCTCTTTCCTTGCATCCCCCAAATTGCTGTCAATCCCCAGACTAATCTCCCCTATATATTTTACCAGGAGTTCTCCTTCTGGACCTTACTAGTGTGGACAAGTCCATTTTCTCTTTGCCAGAAATTTGTGCACTGTTCCTTCTCTAAATTCCTGGCACGGATTCTTTTCTCATTCCTTCGCTCCTCAGCCTCTGTAACAAAATTTGCACTGTGTTCACCTCCTGTTCTGTAAGCGGGCATTGTCTACGGGTGGGGAGCATTCCTGTATAATAAGTTATTCATCGATCTTCACCTGGAGATGCAATAAAGATGTGGTGGGCATCAGACACAAGGGAGAAATGGCTGGCTTTCCTGTTGGTATCATGTTGGAGCTGAAGTTCAAGGTTCAGTTCCACTGGGTGTGGACTTGACCCTTCTCCATGTGTCTCTTTTTCTCTTTTCCATACGTATCTAAGATAAGTGTGTTTTTCCCAGTTTTTGAGGTGAATGGCAAGTGTGAGAGGGAGAGAGAGCCAAGACAGGTCACAGACTGAGGGCTTGGTCCAGGAAAGCAGAGGAGTGGCAACCTGGAATGGGGTTTGGCAGCCCAGGTAAAACAGGGAGGAAACCTCAAAGCCAATTTCACGTTTCACCCAAGGTTTAATTGTAGGAGGGAATAAATCCGATCCCTTATTTGACAAGTGGTTCATAATATCTCTTGGAAAAGACATGGTACTTAACAATTATTATTAATCACAGAAATTGCTCTGTGGGATAGGGCAATAGAAAGTTGCTCTTTGGTGAAGGAAAAAAAAAAAAATCTCCGCACACAAACTGAATGATATTTAAAAGCTTGTTGAGTTGTGGAGTTACCTCCCAAGAGCCAGACACTCTGCTTTTCATCCAAAGGAAAACACAGTGTAGAAAGAGGGGGCGTGAGGATGCGAGTGAATTAATGACACGCGAAACTAGGGGCATTTACATTCCACAAAGATTTGGTTGATTGTTTCTCACATGGCTTTGCACCAACATTAGCCAAGTTTTGTACTGAAAAGGGAAAATTATAAATAATGACATATCCTTTTAGACTATTCCAGTCTTTCCCAAGGGGGCATAACCCAGTGAGGTTTATTGTGAGGAAAAAACAACATAGCTTCACACGCATTGTTTTGTCACAGTGTAGGTACTTGAGAAATAAATATGCATTCCCTTCCCTCTTTTCTTTGCTTCTTTGATATCTAGACTATATCAGCCAAGCAGAGGGGACCGAATGAAAGGTAGAGCCACAAAATATGCTTTATCTGCTTTCTTACTGAAGAAAAGTATCCCCAGGACTGCAGTCCTCAAGCCAACCTCTTCGACAACAGGAGAGGACATGGAAAGTTACCTATTGATAGAAATTGGTTTTCCTTCTAGGAAATAAAGTGGTCTCCAGAGTTTGGACAAGTAGGCTGCCACCTTGCTGAGTTCTTGCTACGCAGTAGAAAAATGCTCCCCATGCAACAGTACTTGTCATGCCCTGAGCCTGCCAACCCGTCTTCAGGTCTTATGTGTTCTGCACATAACTAAACTCAATTGTTAAAATAGGGACATCTCAGGAGCTGGAGGTTTTGGCATCTGACAATCACTGTGATATTGGAGAAGGGGGTTTCAAAGCCCCTCCTGCAAATTCATTTCTACCTGGGATGAAAAATAATGTGCAAATTTAGCCCAGCTTGGTCCTTGAGCAAAGCCAGTTGATTGATGGCTGGGAACTAAAATGACATCTCCTTTGAACTAAATGGGTGATAATGAAATGAAACTCACAACCTTTCATCTTTCATTGTCAGCTGAGAAGTAGACTCTGTTTCATCTCTGCCTCTCTCACTTTAGGCTGAGACAATGTCCTCAGCTGCCATACCCCATGGTTCCACTTGATGGCGGTGAAACCTCAGCCATCAGCCCTTAGAGACAGCACCTTTCACAAAGCAAACATCTCAACTTACTTTCCAGAGACGGGCAGGAGACAGAACTGCAGATATTCTGTGAGCCTGAGGCAAATGCGTCCCATTTTAAAAGGCTTGCATGTTTGAGCTGTTTGTGTCCTGCCTCTCACCGTCCTCAGAGAATTCGCTCCCAATCTTTTCTGCCAGAGTTAAATTGCCCTGGTCTTATTTTTGTGAAATTGTCCAAAAATATTTTCAGCCCATTTGCATGCGATCTGGCATCTTTACAGGTATTGGTCTCGTATGCTGTTGTTACTAATGTCGACGAGTATTTATGCGGTGAGAACTTTGGCTTTTTCTCAGGAAAAATATGCCAAGACAAAGAGTACAGCCTGGCCCTGGAAATGCAGCAATAACACCCATTCTTCCCCGCACCCCACAATGCATTCTGGGTTTCCTTCCTTCATTTCCAGACTTGTCACTACTGCTGAGAACTGAGCTGTGCCCAACCGACCTTTTCCTTGCTTGCCCACGATCCTCTGTTGCTACCAGCGTTCACAAGTTTGCTCCTGTCCCAGCCCCAGGCTGAAACATGGGATTATTTCAGAACTGGAGGTAGCTGCTTCAGAAAAATCTTTCTCCAGTGTTGACTGCTAAGATCTGGGATCTGGGAAATCAGCCTCCAGCTTGTAGACTGCTGCCTGGGGAAATTCCCTGGTCCAACCTGGATCCCTTTTCTGGAACACTCAGGGCAGACAGTGCTCTGCTCCAGGATGTTTCAGCTGTGCACATGGGTCTGGGTGGCAGCATGTCAGGGCCTGACTCTGATTTCTGCAACCTCCAGGTTGCGACAGCTTTCTTGACCCTTCAGAGGGGAACACTCCAGAGCCTAAAATGTTAGAATTTGCTGTGACAGAGCTTCTTTAGTTGGTGCTTCACAGCCTTCACTTTACGGAGGAGGGAACTCAGGTCCAATGGACTTAATATGGTTGGGACCGGATTTCTGATCCTGTGTTCTGTCTACTGTCAACACTGTGTGGTCAGCTTTAGACCATTTTCATTAAGGGGATGTTTGAGTAAAGAATCAAATGAAATGACCGTGGTCGTCATGTATTTTAAATTTCTCTCCTTTTCCTTTGCTTACCAATTGCCTTTTGTTCTCCTGATTTCTCTTGCAGTTATTTTCTCTCCCCTCTGCGTGTTAGCTGTGGGGAGAGGGACTGGGTGAAGAGTGACATTTTCTAGTTACACCACACATCACTCTCCTGCAATCCCTAAACTGTGTAAGCATCGACCTCTTCCGGAAGTAGGCTGTCAAGGGAGGGATTGAGAGGCAAGGAAGAGTTCTTCATTTTCCCCAGCCATCATGATAATTCTTCCATTTCCCCAAGTCCCGAGTCCCGTAAGAAGTCAGAAACCCAAACCCAGCACCTCTTCTTTTCCTTTGTGTGGGTTTACAGTCCCCTTCCAGGAGCACTGGCACAACTCTTAGCAACCTCACTCTCTGCGCAGTTTCTGATGGCAGATTTCAGAGGCAGCCCTTAGGAAAGCTTTGCAAGTAACTGTTGTGTGCAATGACCTGAGCTGTGTGTCTCAAGCACCAGACACAACCATCATATTCAACATAAAGAAAGAAGAGGAAGCTTTAATGGAGTTTTGTTACCAAATGTGTAATACCCAATTGCCCGGCCCCAGCTGCTTCTACTTCAGATTCTCTTCCATATTAAGATCTATCAACTCAGTTAAAAAAAACAAAAAAACAAAAAAACTCCCTGACAAGCTCATGTAGCTATGCTCTGAGCTCTGGAACATGGTGGTAGGGGCTAGCATGATACCTGTTATGAAGAACTACTAATTTTCTCCCTCTGAGAAGGAATAATTTAGACAAACTATTTCTTACCCACAAGAAATCGAAATAGAAAAAGCATCTATTGGTTTAAGCATGATATTTTTATGAAAAAGGCAAAGATAATGATAATAGAGTTAGGTGGTCATAAGTCAAACATCCAAGAAGAGATAATTTATTAGGTGGAGATCTCTAGTGGTTTCCAATAGGGCTCTGTCTTTAGATCTGTTTGAATAACATTTCTATTGATCACTTGGACAAAAATAAAGCATATTTATCAAATTTTGCACATGACACGAAATTAAGAAAGATTGAGTAATAAAACCAGAAACAAACAAACAAAAAAACAAACAAAAAAACACATTGCAATAGACTGGAATAAAGGTCCCAAACCAAGAATTTAGTTTAATAGTTGTAAATGTATTCATGCCCCCCAAATATATAAACAGGGTGGAAAGGCTTGGTTTGATAGTAGCTTTTATGAAAAAGACCTGATAGTTTTAGGGGTCTGTAAGACTGATAAGGCCCAGTGATGGGCTCAATAGGCACAAGGCCAGCACAATCATGGGCAGCAATGATACAATTGTGTAGTCTAGGTCACAGCAGGCGCTGTTCCCACTGAATTGGGGCACATAACAGCACATCAGAAAAGTAAATCCATTTCTGTGGATCTCACAGTCATGGAGGAGCTTCTAACAGAGGAGTTATTTTTGGAATTACATGATCTATAGAACAGTAGATGGAAATGGAGATATTTCATCAGGAGAGGAGACTTTGCAGGGTGCATTATCATCTTCCCAGCTAACATTTATTGTGTGCCTGCTTACTCTGTGTTAGGCTCCATTTTGAGGGATTTACTTGTATAATTTAATACTTATAAAAACCTTATAAGTTGATATGATTATCATCCCCCTTTTATTTAACACCTGTGGGAATAGAAGCTCCAAGGTGATATAGCTACCAAGTGTTAGGGCTGGGAGTCAAAGCCGGGGTGTTGCCTTTTCATTTCTTATGCATAACCCCATGCTGCCTCTCAGCTGCCTTTGATAATGACAGCATAATAGGTGGTTCAATGGTTAGACGTTTCAGGGAGGCAGATCCCAGAAGAGTTTCTTGCAGAGTGGTAGGTCATCTCTTGCTGGAGGTGTTCGAGCTCATTGATGCTCTGTTGCGGTTGATGTGCGGAATTCTGAGTTAGGAGTGAGGATAGACTAGCTAAGCTTAACGAGTCCAGGACCTTGGAACTCCCAGGGTCCTGGATTTTTCACTTGCCAAATTGTCATTCCTGGTATTTGAATCTTAAGAACCATGGAGAGGTTATCAGTTTTAT